ATTGAACACCCTCATATTAACCCATACATGTATGAACATCTGATCTTTGACAAAGAAGCTAAAAATATACAATTAGAAAAAAAGAAAGCATCTTTAACAAATGGTGCTGGCATAACTAGATGCTGACATGTAGAAGAATGTAGATACATCCATGTCTATCACTATGCACAAAACTTAGGTCCAAATGGATCAAAGCCCTCAACATAAATCCAGCCACACTGAACCTCTTAGAAGAGAAAGTGGGTGGTACCCTTGAACGAATTGGTACAGAAGACAGCTTCCTGAATATAACACCAGTAGCACAGACAGTGAGGTCTACAGTTAATACATGGGACCTCCTGAAACCAAGAAGATTCTGTAAGGCAAAGGGTACAGTCAGCAAGACAAAAAGGCAGCTCACAGAATGGGAAAAGATATTCACTAACCCCACATCTGACAGAGGGCTGATCTCCAAAATTTACAAAGAACTCAAGAAGCAAGTCTCCAAAACACCAAAGGATCCAATTAAAAAGTGGGCTGCAGAACTAAATAGAGAATTCTCAATAGAGAAGTCTAAAATGACTGAGAGGCACTTGAGAAAGTGCTCAACATCCTTAGCCATCCGGGAAATGCAAAGCAAAACAACTCTGAGATACCATCTTACTCCTGTCAGAATGGCTAAAATCAAAAACACCAATGACAATTTATGCTGGAGAGGTTGTGGTGAAAGGGGAATACTCCTCCACTGCTGGTGGGAGTGCCAATTTGTACAGCCACTTTGGAAATCAGTATGGAGATTCCTCAGAAAAATTGTAATAAGCCTACCACAAGACCCAGCAACTCTACTGTTAGGCATATATCCAAAAGATTCACATTCATACAACAAGGACATCTGTTCCACTATGTTCATAGCAGCATTATTTGTAATAGCCAGAACTTAGAAGCAACCTTGATGCCCCTCAACTGAAGAGTGGTACATTTACACAATGGAGTACGATTCAGCAAAAAAAAAACAAACAAACAACAACAACAACAACAAAAAAACAATGGAATCCTGAAATTTTGCCAGCAAATGGACGGCACTAGAAGAAACCATTCTGAGTGAGGTAACCAAGTCACAAAAAGAGAAACATGGCATGTACTCACTCATATATGGATTTTAGACATAGATCTGGGGAGTGCCAGCCTACAATCCCATGGCCAGAGAGTCTGGGAAACAGAACTTTCATTCAATGGCTGATGGAAGCAGAGGCAGATTCCCACAGCTAAACACTGAGCTGAACTCAAGGAATCCAGTGACAGAGAGGGAGGACTGATGATCAAAGGGTTAACCCCCAGAAACAGCTGACCTGAGAAGGGTTAGCTCTTGAATCCCAGACTGATGGCTGGGAATTCAGCATATGGGACTGATCAAGACCCCCTGAATGTGGGTGTCAGTGAGGAGGCCTAGGTAATCTATTGGGCCTTGGGTAGTAGATCAGTATTTATTCCCGGGTATACAAATGGACTTTGGGTGCCCATCCAACAATGAGATGCACTCTCACCCTGGACTCTTGGGGGAGGGTCTAGGCCCTGCCCTGTATGGAATGACAGACTATGGACACCCTCATGGAGGGCCTCACCCTCCCTGGGGAAATGTGGAGATATTGGAGTGGTTGGTGGGAGAGCATGGGAGGAGGGGAGGGAAAAGGAGAGGGACCTGGAATTGACATGTGAAGCAACCTTGTTTCTAATTTAAATTTAAGTAAAAAAAGTAGAATATATTTGAGTAGAATATCTGACACAATGCATAAACTTCCTAGAAGCTCCAGCATTAGTCCACACAGTGGAAGAATGCAGATAACGTGGAAAAGAAATTGAAACATTTTCCTTTAAAGACAAGAGACAAATTAAAGGTCTTAACAGAAAAAAAAAAGAAAAGAATTTGTTTTAAAAAGAAAGTCATGTCTTCTAATAATGCCACTCCCTATGAGATTATGAGATGATAGGGCCAATTACGCTCAAAGTACCACACTGCCACAACCAGGTCATTTTTCATGATGATGACTCAAGCAGCTGATTCGCTACCCTGTTTCCCCCTTACAGAAAACTCAATAAACCATACTTTATACTCTGGTCTGAAGGCAGAAACCATGCTCACATGCAAATCCTTTTCCTGTGACTACAATGGACAGTCAACTACATGACTCAAATGGATGATTTCAAAACTCTGAGGTCATACAGTCACTTAATTTAAGAAGTGGTAATCAAGAGGACAGCAAGGTCATTGCCCTGGAAAGCAACAGACTGGGATCAAGGCCACCTGTGTCAGCATGAGAGCGCTTGTCTCAGAAACCTTATTCTAAAAGGCTGGAAGTCCAGCTGTTCTAGAATTAATAGAATTCCAATGAGAAGTATCTTAACAGATTTAAGAGATTAAAAGAAGGAAAATCTCTGTAATGACAGCATGCAGACATCTCTGGCTAATGCTCCAAGAGGAGAGAGCCTAAAACAGATTTTTTTTATTTTGTTTTTTTGAGACAGGGTTTCTCTGTGCAGCCCTAGTTGTCCTGGAAGTAGCTCTGTAGACCATGCTGGCCTCAAAGTTATCACGATCTGACAGCCTTTGACTCCCAGGTCCTGGAATTAAAGGCCTACAACACCACTGCCTGGCTCCTAAATGAGCTTATACTTTGAAGAATTTAAATAGTGACAGGAAACTGCAACTTGGACTAGTTATGCAAATGAAAGACTTCAACAGAAAAGGTATTACCATAATTATATCATAGTACACGAATAACCTGAAACAGCATGTCATACTTTACTGGCAGGTCCTGAGGTAGAGGTGCCAGAAGATGAGAAAGATAGGAAAAGCAAAACAAAATAAAATAAATAAATAAAAGCTGGGCCTGGGAGGTCTTGCTTAAGCTATGTCGTATTCTAAGTAAGCTTCTTCAGAGGAATCAGTTCCTGTATACAACTTCCAGGGGGAAATGGAGGGAAATAGGAGACTTCTAGGAAGTCAGCAGAAACTATCACACTATGGAACAAACTCAGGAGAAGGTTTCTTAAAAAAATGCAGTACAACGGGAGCACAGGGTATCCCAAGAACATTACTGACTAAGCCCACAGTGGCCTTGGGACCAATAACTATAGTTCCATATGATGGGAAGAGTTGTGTCCTCAGAATCTTAAGAAACCCCTCCACAAAGGCCCTGGCTCCAGAACATTACATTCTCTCTAAAACATCTTCCTAGTTTTAGATGAGCTCATTTTATTCTGGATACCTCAAGGTCTAGTGGAAAACACCTAGGGCTAGGCTCCAAACTGTTACTGGTTCTGCCAAACATGTTCTTGGGTTTAAGAAGGAGCTATCTATGTTCCTTCTCCATGTGTAAGGACATAAACAGAAAGTCTTGCTTGCTCAGTCCAACCCTCAACACAACAGTGTTTTCATATTCAAATACTTTTCACCTGGTTTCATCTTGCCCATCTGGCAGAACTATGATTTTTTTCTAGAAGAAAACTGGACCTGCATGGCATACCATACCCTAATGCTCATTGTGACGCAGTAATTTGAGCAGCTTTCGAAAGCCCTGTTCTTAGCCACCAAGCCTCCTCCTAGGTGCATGCACAACAGTACAACCCTGGGCATGCCTCCAGGCAAGAAGCACGTGGTCCAGTGGCAGAGGCAGTGGTTGCCCCACCAACTGCTGCTCTTTCCTTAATGATCCTGCCACAGGTTCGCCTGATGAAACCTTGTCATAACTTTTAATTCCTCTAGATAGTAAAGTTTGCGGGGATTGGGCCAGGGGCTATTTGTAAATCAGGGATTTCTCCTTTGTCATGGACAATCCTGGAGAACAAATGTATATTTTAGCATCTTACTCTCTAACAGGCCTAGTTAGCACACTACTTTAACTTTGGGTTATTTTAGAGGTAGCACTCCCCGTGGAACTTACTATGCTTTGCCAAAATTCTGAACGCCAAAATCTCCAAGAGGCCCATTTCGACGCAAAAGCAAAGAGTCTTTTATTGGGGTTATTTAACAAGCTAAACCCATTAGTTCAGGCCATTGCAGTGAAGGCCGGAGAAAAGACCCTGAGAAACTGTAAGGCAAGGGATCTTAAAGGGCAGCATAAGGGGAGTGTCTAGGGGTATGAAACAGTCTCAGGATTTGTGCGCTTCCAGGTTTGGGTGACCTGCCTTATGTTGATTGGTCAACTGTTTGTTATGGCCCATAGGCCCTCCCAGGGCGGTTGCTATACTCTGCATGTCACTGTTGGGCACTTGTCCGTAAAGCACAGCCCCACCAGCTAAATTCTAATTGGTTCCTTGCCTCGAGGGCATCTGACCTCCTAGTGACCAGGACAGGAGCGACAAGGTCATGCGAGCACATGTTAGCCTGTCATGGCTGCTTAAATGGGTGGCTGGTCCCTCCCCTATTCCCTAAGAATTGGTAAATCCTTTCTATCAACAATTCTACTCTTCCACATCACAGCTTAGCATGGGAGTGTGACCCAACCCAAGAATGCCATTTACAGATGTCTTCAGTGGCCCACGCCTTTAATCCCAGCACTGGGGAGGCAGAGGCAGGCAAATCTTTATGAATTTGGGACTAGCCTGCTGTACAATGCAACTTCCAAGTCAGGCACCAAAGCTATACACAGAAATCCTGTTTCCAAAAACTAAAAATAAATGAATAAAAGAAAGAAAAACAATGCCATTTTCACCTCGCCCACAATTAAGTCCAAATGGATCTTACACCCAAATGCTATATGTATAGCACAGAACTTCTAGAAGACGCTAGAGAAACTAGGCTGCTGCGAGTCTTCAGTATGCACCAAAAGCACTTGGGGGTTGACTGCAGAAATGACAGCAAGCTCCCTGATCGAAACGCTTTCCACAGATGTAGCCCGTAGAGTGAAGCGTTCATAGGCCAGCGCCAGGCAGTTCCCGGGAACACAGGAGACCTCACAGGACACTGAAGTTCCCACCCCGGCACCAGGAGGTCCAGCCCCATCATGTTCCGCATCACTCACCATGCTGCGGCTCCCGCGCACAGCCGTCTTCAGCGGTCGCCAATGCGCAGGCGCGCAAACCCCGCGGTCCCGGCTACGGCCTCGGGTGACGCCCGCGTGAGCGTCTGCGTGACTCCACGGCAACCACGGCGACCACGGCGCGGGCGTCACGATGATGACGCAGACTCTACGTCCGTTTACGGCGCGACGTGATGACGTTCGGAAACGTTTGTTTCCGGTGCGTTTCGATGACCCTCGGCGCCCCGTTGGTGACCACCCTCTTCCGTGTGCAAACGCCATGGCGACGGGTCGGCGGCTGGGGCACGCGTAGGAGCCATGTTTCCCGGGGAGGCGTGCTGATGACGCGATCGCCCCGCGTCGCCGCGGCCATGTTGCCGGGACCGCTGTGTTTACAGTCGCAGTGTTGATATCGCGCCTCTAATGACGCCATCGTCCGGCGCCGCCGCCGCCACATTCTTGGGGGGGCTGTGGTGTTTACAGTCGCCATGGCGACGCCGCCGCCTGAAGACCGGCGTCGGCCATGTTCCCAGCGCGTGTGTGATGACGCGTTTTCCTCTGCGCCGCCTCCGCGCCCGGTTTGAAGCCTCCACGAGTTCGCGAGTCCTCCCGTCCGTCCCGTCCGTCCGTCCCACCCGCCCCGCCCGCCCCCGCCATGCCGCCTGGGAAGCCCCTGCAGCCCGTGCTGCGGATGAAGGTGGACGAGCTTTTCCTGCGCTGGCTCAGCGACCCCGGCACCCAGGACGCCCTGCGAGAGGGGCTGCGGCGGCTGCAAGCGGGGGACGGCGACCCTGACGTCATCACTGGGGGCGACCCTGACAGCGTCAGGGCTGACCTCATCGGCAGGGGTGACGTCATAGCCCGGGGTGACGTCATCACCGGGGCCCCCTTCGCCCAGCCTGCATCGCCGCTGGACATCACCGGATGCAGGAGAGCCTCGAGGAAGACGAAGGTGGTGAGTGAGGGAGGTCGGGGGAGGGGGTGGGGGGTGACGCCAGGGACACCAGGGGACAGGGACAGAGGAGGAGACATTTTAAGGCATTTGCATATACTTTCATATATTTGCATGTATTTACCATGTGGGCAGGTATTTAAATATTTGAATGTATATGCGCAGTGCCTGGCTTCCACAAGCAAGTCCAGGGTACATTGTGGCGCCCGTTTCACAAGCAACTCCGAGGTATCAGGAAAAGAGATGCCAGACGTCCAGCTGTGTGTACTAAGAGAATGCATGGGCAGCCTTTATTGCCAGGAGTGTGTGTGTGTGTGTGTGTGTGTGTGTCTTCATTACAAGTGCTAAGAGCTCTCTCTCTCTTGTAGGAGGGAGCAGCCTTATATACAGGCTTACAGCGCAGTGGAAAAACCCCAGGTAGAAGAGAGCGTGTTTTCCTCCTGCTGAATGTTGATGTCAGAGGGTCAAGGCCGGGGCAGTAAGCCAGGACTAGAAAACAGGAAGCACTTGGACTGGAAAACAGGTTGCACTTGTAGGCTGACCAACAACTCACAGAGACCCCGTGAGGTTGGGGCCCAACATCTCCCCGCTTCTTTATATATAAATTAGCACCTAGCTCAGGTGACTAGAACGTTAATGCCAATCTTAGTATACAAACATTTATAAACAATACTTGGGAATGTGGGCGTCTTTCTTTCCAAACTACTTCCTGCTGTTAAGGGGCACTGAAATACCATGGGGTTCATGAAAAAAAACAAACAAACGCAGAAACCTGTTGAAGTTCTTGTTTTTGTGGTCTGTAAGGCTGCATCATCTCAGCTGTCTTAGATGTTGGGTCACCTGGGCCACTGATTCAGGTGGTCTTGCTTCATCAAACCATACTAGTCTGGAAGGAACCTACAGTTTATGTTCTGTGTAAACAAAAGTAGAAATTTTTTTCCCAAGTAACCTGTCCTTATATTTAAATTTAGAAGTCAAAGCATTTTCAAAATATGTAAGTTGGATTAATTTGGCAACATTAATAATCAAATGTCTTAGCAGTTTTTGTTCCTTTCTTAGCAATTAAACAATTAAGAGACAACACAACTGTATACAGTATCCAGACTCTCTGTGTATTTTTCATTGCATATACCTTTATCTTTTCCTTTTCTTTTCCTTTTCTTTTCCTTAATACCAGTACCTCGTTTATTAACTGTTACCAATTTTCAATTTACCCACTTTTAATCCATCTTCCAAATGAGGGCAATCTCTCAGCTTCCCCTTTCTTTCCTGACCTTGGTGTCAGGCAAAGGCCTGGAGATTTAATGCAATCCACCCCCCAACTGAGGGCGATCTCTGAGCTTCCCTTTACTTTCCCAAACTCAGTGGATCGGGCAAAGGCTGGAGATTAATTCAATACACCTTCTCCTTAGAAAAAGCCTCTAGATTTGACCATTCAATTTTACTGTTGTTAGAAGTTGAGGTACCTGTTTTTAAATCTTTTCTTTTTCGAGTCTCTCCTCTCCTGAGTCTTCTTTCCAGTCTTTCCAAGTCTCTCTGGATCTCGGTGGGACCTCCAATTGCGGCACCTGGCTTCCACAAGCAGGTCAGAGGTATCAGGAAAAGAGAGACCAGACGTCCAGCTGTTTGTACTAAGAGAATGCATGTGCTGCCTTTATTGCCAGGAAAATGTGTGTGTGTGTGTGTGTGTCTTCATTACAAGTGCTAAGAGCTCTCTTGTAGGAGGGAGGAGCTTTATATACAGGTTTACAGCACAGTGGAAAAACCCCAGGTATAAGAGTTTTCCTCCTGCTGAATGTTGATGTCAGAGGGTCAAGGCCGGGACAGTAAGCCAGGACTAGAAGACAGGAAGCACTTGGACTGGAAAACAGGTTGTAACTCAAATAGACCCGTGGGGTTGGGGCCCAACATATATGGTGTGTTTACAAACATTTAGCATATTTGCATACATTTTATATATTTGCATACATTTTATATATTTGCATATATTTATCTAAATATTTTTAACATATTTGAATACAGTTGTGGACATTTAATATTTCTGTGTAGCATAATATATGTCTATGCATTTAGTATGCTTCCAAACATTTAGTGTATTTGCATACATCTCATATACTTGCATATAATATGTTTGTGCATATTTCAGTATATCTGAATATATTTGCATTCTGGCAGGCATCTAGGATATTTGAATGTTTTGGGGCATATTAGCATGCATTTGGTATGTCTGCATACATTTCATATATTTGCATATATTTAATATATTTGCTTATTTAACACATTTCAGTACAGTTACTGACATTTAGTATTTTTGCATAACCTAATATATTTCCATGCATTTAGCATGCTTCCAAACATTCAGTGTATTAGCATACTCCTCATATACTTGTTGCATGTAATTCAATATGTTCACACATATTTTAATATATCTGAATACATTTGCATGCAGGCAGGCATCCGGAATATTTGAATGCATTTGACTTATCTCTATACATTCCACACATTTGCATATGTTTTAATATTTCTGCATTCGTCATCAATCACCCTGTGGGCAAGGTCACTGGTGTGTGCATGGTCTCAGGATCTGTTCAGAGGTGTGGGCGTGGTCATTGGGGAAGGCGTGCCCCCCCAGGACCTGCTCAGTGATATAGGGGTCCGGGTTGTATATTTGGGCAACTTTGGACCTTGTGTCAGGCCTGGTGTTTGGGGCGTGTCCACATGTGAGCTTGGCTGGGTAGGGACAGCAAGATGTGGGTGGAGACAGAAGCTTGTGGGTGTGGCCGTCTGTGGGTCTCAGTGCATACTGGTGGGGCTGCAGTGTGGGCGGGGCTTCAAGGACTCCTCCCACATGGGGCGGGGCGTGAGGATGGTGCCGTGTGGGCGGGGAAGGGTAGATGTGGCCGAGTTGGGCAGCCCCTGGTGTGGGCGGGGCTGGGTTGGGCAGTACCCCTGGGCGCCCCCCCCCCCCAGTAACCACGCTGACACCTCCCCTGTGACCCCGCAGCTGCAGACCCGGAATCATGAGCCCCCGCTGGCCCCGCCTCCACCCCCTCCCACAGCGGCCCTGCCCCCAGGTCTCGCAGTCCCTGCCTTCTTCTTCCCACGTGGGCGCCCGGGGGCGGGGCCGGACTTGGATGACATCATCGCCCGGGTGGAGCGGGTGTTCGCGGGGTTCGAGAGTCAGCGGGCAGGGCCCAGGGACATGGGCGTGGTCGCCAAGGTGAGTGACGTCACCGTGGGTAGGCGGGAGTAGGGCCCTGCTGCTGACCCCTGACCCACCGACCTCGGTCGGGGTCACTCTCTGACCCCCTGACCTGCTGTGCCCCCCCGAGTCCCGGCTGACCCTGGGTGACCCCGCTTCCCCTGCCCCCAGGCCTGCGGCTGCCCGCTCTACTGGAAAGCCCCACTGTTCTTTGCTGTGGGCGGGCCGCGCACCGGGTCAGTGTCTGTGCACAAGTTCCTGGCCATGTGGCGGAAGTGAGTCTGGGGGGGACGGAAGTGAGGGCGGGCGGAGCCAGGAGTGCGCGGGGTGTGGCTGGGGGCGGGAGTGAGTGTCGCGGCCGGGTCTAGTGCGGTGCAGGGTTAGGGTTAGGGTTAGGGTTAGAGTTGCGGTTAGGGTTCAGGGATTCAGACTGGAAGCAGCCGGCGGGCGGGGCCTGCCAGGCGGAAGCCTCTGTGAGTGGTCTGGGCCTGCCCCGCGGTGACGTCACCCACCCGCTCCCCAGTGTGCTGGTCACGTGTCACGATGACGCCGCCCGCTTCATGCAGCTGCTGTCAGTGCCAGGGGGCAGGGGCCTCGCCCAGGAGGATTTCCTGCCCCTCCTCCAGGTGCCCTGCCCCCCCAGTGCCACCGCCCCCTGTGGATACTGCCCGGGATTGCCCCTGCTCCGATGAGCCCCACCCCCTCGCCAACACAGACCCTTGACTGACCCTGCCCCCTGACTCCTCACCGTTACTGGCCAGTTTTCTCTGACCCTGCCCCCTCACCCCGCCCCCTGAGTGACTCCTCCCCCTCACTGGCCACAGTCTTCACAGAACCCGGCCCCTCACTGACTCCGCCCCTGGCTCCTCCCCATTGCTGGCCCCGTCTCTTTCCTGTTCTCACTCCACAGACTCCTCCCTGACTGACCCTGCCCACTCCATGACCCCCCCCTGAGTGACTCCTCCCTCTCACTGAGCCCGCCCCCTCACTGACCCCGCCCCCTGCAGGATGTGGTCCACACCCACCCTGGCCTCGCCTTCCTGAAGGAGGCGCCCGAGTTCCACTCCCGCTACATCACCACGGTGAGTGACGCGCCCCCGCCCCGCCCCTTGCCATGCCCACCTGGTTACTCCCGCCCACCGCGGCTGGCTCCGCCCGCTGACCCCTAATCTCCGACCCACAGGTCACCCAGAGGATTTTCTACAGTGTCAACCGCTCCTGGTCAGGGCGGATCACGTGTGCAGAGCTGAGGCGGAGCCGCTTCCTGCAGGTGGGGCCCCGGGAGGGGCGGGTCCCGGCGGGAGGGGATGGTCCAGGAGGACAGGGGCAGGACACCGATAGGGAGGGGCGGGTCCCTGAAATGGTTGTGGGCGGAGCTTGGCGAAGAGGCGGTTCCTGTGTGACTAAGGAGGGGCTGAACGGGGCTGGGCAGGCAGGGGGCGGGGTCACCTGTAAACACTCAGACCCCAGCGTGGGCGTGGCCCGCCCCGCTGCACTTGTTCACCATGTGGCAGTGACAACCCATCTCCTTGACCTCCGTGTGGGCGTGGCCGACTTCCTGTGGGCGTGGCGACCCTCGGGTGGACCTCTGACCCTGCGGGAACCGGGCGACCCCTGCAGTCCCTCCACCTAGGAGGTGGCGCGGCTGGAGGCGGAGCCTGACGTGAACCGGCTGCCCGAGTTCTTCTCCTATGCCCACTTCTACGTCATCTACGTCACCTTCTGGGGGCTGGATGGGGACCACGATCTGATGATTGACAGGCGGGACATGGGTCGTCATGGAGATGGAGGTGAGGCAGGGCTGGGGAGAGAGGGCGGGGTCTGAGGGGGTCTGGCTGCGGGCATGGAGCGCGTGACTGAAGTGTGGTGGGATAGGTGGGTGTGGCCCACCCTGACCCGCCCCCCTCTTCCTGGCAGCCATTTCCTCCCGGGTGATTGACAGGATCTTCTCAGGTGCCGTGACCCGGTGGGTGCTAGGGGATGGGGGGCGGGGCTTCTTGTGTGGCGTGTCTGTGACGCAGACTGGGCGGGGCCAGTGACGTCACTGAGCGGTGGGCGGGTTCTCCCCCTCCCAACCCCTGCAGGGGCCGCTCTGTGCACTCGCTCGGGAAGCTGAGCTTCGCTGACTTCGTGTGGTTCCTGATCTCCGAGGAGGACAAGACCACGCCCACCAGGTGTGTGCAGCGCGGCCGTTTATGTGGGTTCCATGACCCGTGCGTCACGTGTGTCTGCATGCCGTGTGTGTGTCGTGCGTGTGTCGTGCGTGTGTCACGCGTGTCATGCATGTGTCACGCGTGTGTCATGCATGTGTCCCAGCATCGAGTACTGGTTCCGCTGCCTGGACCTGGATGGGGACGGCGTGCTCTCCATCTGTCGTGTGTGTCACATGTGTGTCACGCGTGTCATGTATGTGTCACGCGTGTGTCCCAGCATCGAGTACTGGTTCCGCTGCCTGGACCTGGATGGGGACGGCGTGCTCTCCATGTTCGAGCTCGAGTTCTTCTATGAGGAGCAGGCGCGGCGCCTGGAAGCCCGGGGCATCGAGCCGCTGCCCTTCCGTGACCTCGCGTGCCAGATGCTGGACATGGTGAACCCGCGCGTGCCCGGTGAGCGGGGTCATGCATCCGGCCCGGGTGGCCCCTGGTGACCCCGTCTGACCCTGTGTGGCCTCTGTTGACCCCGCGACCCCAGGGCAGATCACGCTCCGTGACCTCAAGCGCTGCGCCATGGCCGCCACGTTCTTGGACGCCTTCATCAATGCCGACAAATTCCTGGAGCGCGAGCAGCGCGAGCAGGGGGCGGGGCCCGCGCGGGTGCGTGACGGCGCAGGCCACACCCCAGCCCCTCCCGCCCCCCAGTGCCCTCCCCGCCCCGCCCCCCTTCATGGCGCCATCCGTGACCCCGCCCCTCTCCCGGTGCCCCGCCCCACGACTCTGATGTCACCACTCGGCTCTGCAGGACGTGGACCCCGCGGGCCCCGAGCTGTCGGACTGGGATCGGTTTGCAGCCGAGGAGTACGAGGCCCTGGTGGCGGAGGAGGAGGAGGACGCGTGAGTACCCCGCCCCTCTCCTAGGCCCCTCCCCTCCCCTAGGCACCGCCCCTTTCCCAGTCACTCTGATGTAGCCCCGCCTCTTCCTGTAGCCCCGCCCCTCCCCCGCAGGCCTCGCACCCTGTCACTCTGATGTAGCCCTGCCTCTCCCTGTAGCCCCGCCCTCCCTTAGGCCCCGCCCCTTATAAACCGCGCCCTCCTGTGGCCCCGCCCCTTCCCCCGCAGGCCTGGGATCCTGTTACTCTGATGTAACCCCGCCTCTCCCTGAGGCCCCGCCCCCTCCCCAGTCACTGTGATGTAGCCCCGCCCCTCACGTTGCCCTGCTCCTCCCCGCAGCCCCGAGAGCCTCTTGGATCTGGAGTTCGCAATTGGTGACGATCTGGAGCCTCTGTGACATGCGAGTCTCGGAGTGGGGCCATGAGGACATGGGAACGCCCACCCCAGCAGCCCTGCTCCTAGCCCCTCCCCATGACGTCACGGGGCCATCACACGTGTGCGCCGTGACGTCACACTTCGTATTTTTGGATAAAGATTTTCAGAGATTTTCACCTTGGCTTCCGTGTCTGTGTGGGACGCAGGGTGGCGCATAGTCAGACTCGTGCGGGACGCGGGGTGGCGCACAGTCAGACTCCGTGTCTGTGTGGGACGCAGGTGACGTGGGGTGGCGCTCAGTCAGACTCCGTATCCGTGTGGAACGCGGGGTGGTGCACAGTCAGACTCTGTATCTGTGTGGAACGCGGGGTGGCGCACAGTCAGACTCCGTATCCGTGTGGGACGCGGGGTGGCGCACAGTCAGACTCGTGCGGGACGCGGGGTGACACACAGTCAGACTCCGTGTCTGTGTGGGGCGCAGGGTGGCGCACAGTCAGACTCTGCCTCCTGTGCGCCACCCCGCGTCTCTCACTGACTGCTGAGCGTCTCTCACTGATGAGCGTCTCTCACTGACTGCTGAGCGTCTCTGACTTCGGGCCTCGCCCCTTGGCTGCGCTCTCAGGCTGATGAGCTCCGAGAGCACCTGTGCCACTTTTGGTCTCACCCGCGGAAAACATGCGTTAGGTTGATGGCTTAGTGGCTCTTGAGATCATTAACGTTTCGCTGGACCTCCAGTTACGGCCAGAAGACGGGCGAATGGTGTTACCATGCATCTCAGCTTGCTTCTGCCTCGCTCTCAACAGTCGCTTTCCTTACCCTTGTCTGTTTCCCTTCTCTTTCCGGCGATCTTACGCTCTCCCGCCGCCTGCCTGCCTGCCGCAGCGCTGTCCTGCTGCTTCCCATCCTGGCCTAGTCCTTTCCCCCGGGATTGTCCTGCTTCAATAGAACTCTTGCGCTCCTGTTCCTAATGCCTCTCCTGTTTGTCCTATCTTCTACCGTGTTTCTTCTCCAGGTGGACACCAGTAGCTCGCAAAGGCCTGGCCCCGGGGCAGCATCTGCTGAGGGCGCTCTGAGAGGTTTTTGGTTTTTTTTTCCCCCCCAGGAACGAAGTTTTAAGGTTTTGTGCCCTAGCACCGCTCATACAGACTGGCGCATTCATTCCTCAGGCCTATGGTGGTCTTTCTGGATGTTGTGCCCTTGAACTCTGGTGTCCTGCTGGTTTCGCCCATCTTTCTGCCTCACTCATGGAGAAAAACGCCAACGAAGTTATAACTTAAAACTCTCTAACTTCTGTCAGATGGGAATGTGTTTATGGCAGCCGCCATCTAGACCCTGTGGCCTAGCCTTAGGTCCGCCCACTCCATGCCTTTTTGCCTTTTATTTATTTATTTTTTGTCTGTAATTTCTTTCACTGGCTCTGTTGTGCATGGCTTGTTTGTGGAATGGCGTGCCTTTCCAGGGCCTGGTAGGGGACACATTTCACACAAAAAGGTTGCCTGTTTCATCTGCAGCAGATCTGCTCTCTTGTCACAGTTTTAATTCTGTTTCTTTAAATCTCTGTCTGTTTGCTGCAACATACAAACCAGAGATTATACTCTGGTTCTCCGTTTTTTACTTTTATCCAGTCTTGTGTGATATATCTGCTTGTCTCTGTACACTGATAATTCTATGCAACTTAAATTCAACTAAGCTGTCTCAAATATTTATAAATTGTTATATATCCATAAACAATGGTAAACATTTAAGGTTATAAAGGTCTATTTCAATGTAACAGAATATTTATATCACCCAGTCTTTCCTGTAAGCTGGTTACAGAGGTAAAGCTTCTATTACAAAAGGGAGTTTTTCTCTACTTGTTTGTTATTTATAGGTGTACATCTAGCCTACTTAGTTAAAACAGTTACAGTCGGGCTATAGAGCTCTGATTAAAACATCCCTCCACAGACTCTCAGCTTCAATCAAGTTCTCCAGACAGATCCTACACTAATCCGTAGCCACCTATGTGCTTAAGGCAAACAACTAAAGACAAATTTTGTCTGAGATACACTAAACAGACAGACAGCCCTCAAATGATCAGAGATCTAGAGAACATGGCATTTAAAATGTTTTATTAAAAAGCTTTTTATAACAGAGTGACAGGCCAGCTGCTGACTCTACCCCATTTCCTCCAAGAAGAAACTCCACCCACAAAAGTGGTAGTACTGGCTACTGAGCAATCCTGCCTTTCACCTCAACTTTTGCTAAGGACTCTTCAGACCATGGACAAGAGTACAGTGGAATTGACTTTCTCCACATTGCGTGGGCCAACGGTAGAAAAGTCTAAAGTTCCTAATTCACAGTTAGCACACTATCAACAAAATAAGGTGTCCTTAAAGCCTCTGTGTAGGAGGAAGTCTGACCTCTGCCCTCAACAGCTATGGAAGGTGACCTTGGGGGGTGACTGTCCATGTGGCCGGTTAGCAATTCTTTGTCATTCTCTAATAATTAACTCAGGTAAAATTTTATCCTTCTCAAGAACCCTGATGCAGTTTGATGACTGTTGGTTTCAATATAACTTCTTACCATTCCTTTGTTTAAAAATGTTTTAAGATATAACAAAGTAACTTAAGGTGTACAAATACAAGTTATCAGTTCTTTCTCATTATGGTACTGTTCATAGTCTTAACATTATTCAATAAAGTTTGAATGAGCTATTAATCCAACTCTAACAGATAACTAAACACCATATTATACCACTATACGATAACTGCAAAGTCAAAATTAAGGTACGTTTCATTCTCCTAATAACATCTGTCAGTTTTAAAAATGTTAATGCTTTCAGTCAAGTTGTTTCTAACATAAATATGATGTTAATGTTTCTAATACTTACGTTGTCACAAATTCAAAGGATGCTTGTAAGTTCTAGGGAGTCGAATTGGACCCACCCAAATAGATCAGATTCACTCCAGATAGATATTATTCAACCTTTCTCTGGTCCCGGGACCCCCTTCCCTCATCTTGGGACCCCCCTCGGGAACTCCTCCCTCTTATGATCCTCCTCCTCTCAAGTACCAGGACCTAAGAATATTTTTTTTAACTTAACTTTATCCTCTGCTCTGCTGATGTCTTGCCAGGTCGAAGAGGTGCCAGAGAGTTCCATACAGCCTGGACTGTGATGAAACAACTGGCTACCCCAGGACATGGCAGTACTCCAGCTTCCTAGTATCCCCCAAAAATGGTCAACGCCCCCCAGGTCAACAGGAAGCAGTCTTGAGAACTCGTCACCCTTATTCCCTAACCTGCCATGCCTAACACCTCACCTTTTTTAATGATAAATAAAGGTGGGAATGTAAGGATTCAGGCATTACGCTGGCCCGCCAGTCACCTGGCAGAATGCACTCAGGCATCACCCTGGTCAGCTCAGGTTCAAAGGACCCCTTTAAACGACAGACCCCGCCCACTCACTTATGCTCTTTCCACTCCACTCTCTCTCTTCCCTCTGTTCCCCTGGGGCAGACAGGATTTTTCCTGTCTGTCTCTTCTCTCCTGTCCTCTCTCTGTCTCTGTGTCTCTTTACCTCTTTTCTCTTTCCTTCCCCCTCCCTCCCCTTTCTAATAAAACTTCCCACTGAAGCTCTGTCTGCCTGGTGTGTTTGTCCCTCTGCCTTGATCACCGTCACCTGCTATGGAATATGCCAAGAAGCCCATGTAAGGTCTCCCTTGAGCTTTATCCTAACAATTTATGTATGTACCTTGTATCTCTCCAAGACTTTTATGATCTTTGATTTGTCAGAGTCTTTCTCAGCATGTAATGTTATGATACTCTGGTTTTGTTTTGTTTTTAATTTATTATTATAATGGATTACATTTACTGATTTTTGTGTGTTGAACCATCACTGCCTCTCTGGGATGACGCCTATTCAAATACTTTGGATGATCTTTTTGATGTATTGGAATTTGTTTGCATGTATTTTATTGAGTATTTGTTCACTTATATTCACAAGGGAAATTGGTCACAATACTAGAGATCTGTGCTGAATTAGGTTAATGATCTCCAGGTCATCAAGCAGAGGGCCTATGATTCATTGAATACCTGAAATTGGCATCCCCAGAGTCTATCTTCCTTCAGATGTTGCAGTCTCCAGGTTAAGGGCTAGTCCAACTTCCCAGTGTCCTCTGTCTCAAATTCAATGTATCTGGTGTAGTAGCATCTGGCATATATTATTTATTGTCATTTAAAAACAAGAGCCTGAATTAATGGGTATCTGTGTACCCATGACATCATAAAATGGATGATGTTTTATTTCATCAAATAATTTGAGGAGTATTGGTTTCACTCTTTGAAAATCTGATAAAATTCAGGGGTGAAACCATCTGACCCTGGGCTTTTTGTTGAAAGACTTGTAATGACTTGTTTTGTTTCACTAGGGGTTATAGGTCTCTATTCAAATTGTTTATGTGATGTTGATTGAACTTTGGTAAGTGGTACCTATCAAGGAAAATATCTATTTCTTTTAGTATTTCCAATTTGGTGGAATAAAGGCTTTTTAAAAGTATTTCCTTATGATTCTCTGGATTTCCTTGTTTGTTGTTATCCCCCTTTTAATTTCTGATTTTATTAATTGGTATATTCTCTCTGTGTCTCTTAGTTTTGATAAGGTTTTGTCTGTATTGTTGATTTTCTCAAAGAACCAAATACATTTTTTCATTGAATACTTGTATTTTTCTTTGTTTCTATTTTGTTAATTTTACCCCTCATTTAATAGTTTCTTCCTGTCTACTCCTCTTGGTTATGCTTACTGATCTTGTGTTTTGGGCATGGATATTAAGAATTGAAATGTCATATTGGTGGAGTTTTCTTCCCCATCTCTTTTGATTAATTTTTGTGTGAAGTCTATTTTGGCAGATACTAAAAAGGCTAACCAAGCTTCCTTGCAAAGACTAGTAAATAAATTCAGGGACTGATTTGGATAAGAAAGGGAATCAGCCAGAGATGGAGGGGGGGGTCAAAGGGGAAGTAATAGGGAAAGGAAACAAACAAGGAAAGCACATAATCACAAGTATCTGAGGATGCCATGATGAAACCCTATACTTTGTATTTCAAACTGAAACAAGGATTTAAAATCAAGGGCCATTGAGATAGATCAATAGGAAATGGCACTTCCCACCAAATCTGACAACCTGAGTTCAGTTCCAGG